CCGCGGGCTGTGCCCCAGGGGACCGCCATCCCCAAGCCGAGACCCGACCCCGGAGTCACCAGGCCTGTGCTTGCGTGCCAGGGACATCTCGCCCCTCCTGAAGGACCCCAACTCCTTCCGCGCGGCCATCTGCCTCCTGGCGAACCACCTGAAGAAGACCCACGGCGGCAAGATCGACTACATCGCGGGCAAGTGGAGGGTCGGGGGTGAGGGGGCTCTGGCCGCCTCGGGAGGATCATAAGATGGAGGGATCACTGGGTCTGGGCCAGGCCGCCGGAGGCTGGTTGTGTGGGGTTACTTTTCCTGAGTCAGGTAGAGGGCGGGAGGGACGGTTCCATCTCTGCTTAGGGGAGGCCCTTTAGTGGGAGTCCTTCAGGGGCCCTACCTCTAGGTGCATGGTTGATCACCCCAGCGTGGGCTGTAAGGATGGAACCGCTGCCCCCTACTTTGCAGCCCTGAGATGGGTTACGGGCTCCTCCAGCGGCCTGAGGAATGGCTTCTGCCAGGTGGGTACCGCCTTGCAGGCTGTGGGGCTGAGCGCGTCTATTTGGAGACGCCGGCTTATTTCTTGTACCCTGAACATACGCGTGGGGCCGAGGTGCGAGCCAAGGTCGATGGCATTAGCGTCTCCGCAGCCCTGGCGGGTTTTAGGGAAACCCCCACCCAGTTCCTGGTCTCCGCCGCAGGAGAATTTACCCAGGCAGTACCCGACCAGATTCCACTGGGTCATAGAGGTTTCTTGTTCTCCTTCTACAAGCATGCATTGAGCACCCGCTGTGTGCCAGACTCTTGACCCAGTGTGGGACTTGGAGAAGGCCTATAGAGATCAGGGAGGACCCTGGGGTCTGGTCTCCCCATGAGAGCCCCACTCCCTGAGGTGCTGGGGTCCAACCCCTGCAGGTCCAGGGGTCCCCAAAGGTGTGGACGGAGTCGGCAAAGAAGGAATGACACGGAGACAGCGTTCAGTTGATCAGCAGCCTAGCCAGGTTCTCCAGCCAAGTTCTGTTTTTTATTATCTTGTTACATCTGTATTTATACCAGTTGATTTTAATCCTGTCAATTTCTATTCCAAAGGTTAGGGCGTTTCTTATCTCCATTCCAGGGAGTAAAAATTATGTAGCTTAAGGGTGATTGTTCGTAGTTAAAGTGATTAACTACCCGCCTGGCACTTAGTTAAGGGGTTTTATCCCCTCCCTAACTTCAGGGAAAAATCCCTACCGGGGGAAACAACCTTTCTCAGAGAGGTGACCTTGGTTAAAACACATAGCGCTAAGGGGAGCAAACATATTAAGAAAAGTATGCTATATATGCCAGGTCCCTTGAAACATGCTGTGCAGATGTTTCTTTCCTGCAGCGACTGTGTCAAGCAGCAAGGATGGACCGGCTTCCGGCACTGACCCTCCCATTGATCCCCACTGCCTGGGGGGCACAGGCTTGCTGTTGCCCTCTTCAGTTGGGTGTGTCCCCCTCACCACACTTCCTGTTCCATGTCAGGGAACTGCAAGAGGTGGCCAGTGCCCTGTCACTGCCTCTCCTTCAGAAGCTCCTGTGCTGAATGTTTCATAGCTATTACAGCCCAGTTAGAGATAACAGCTGAGCTTTGGAAAGAGGCCAGGTGACTTCGCCAAGGCCACCCAGCTATTACACAACCATGTAGTGTGGACTTAGTCCCTAGCTCCACCTCCTAACCTCCCTCTCTCTAGCAACCAGCAGTCCCTGAGCATGGTAAGTCAACATTCCCTAAATAGATGGCCGTCATTGGCCTTTTAGCTGGCATCAACAAGGCCAGGCATCCTGTGTCATTGTAGTGACTACTTGTCATTTTCCAGCCTGACCTGTGGGAACCCCCATGCTACTGGGCCACACATCTGTCTCCCAATAACCCAGCTCTCACCAACAGGCCTGGACTCTCGAGGCTTTCTGTTTGGCCCCTCCCTGGCCCAGGAACTTGGCTTGGGCTGCCTGCTCATCCGAAAAGGTGGAAAGCTGCCGGGCCCCACAGTGTCCACCTCCTACACACTGGAATATGGGAAGGTGAGAGGGCTGGTGGCTGATCCCATGGACCCTCCTTCCCCAAAGGGAAAGTTGTAGAATTAAATAGAGCTGCCATGGTTGGAGTGGACATGGGAGCTCAGAGAGGTTGAGACACTGGGCCAGGCTCACACAACCAGGAAACAGCTGGGAGGGTTGAAACCATGGCCCAGGTGGTAGTCCCTTGTTAGCCCCTGGGCTCTGCACACCAACACTGTTCTGAGAGATGTACCAACCATGTGCCTGCTTTCCTTTCCATCCACAGGCTGACCTGGAAATCCAGAGAGATGCCCTGGAACCAGGGCAGAAAGTGGTAATCGTGGACGATCTGCTGGCCACTGGTGGTGAGGGTCTCCCCCAAGTGAAGAGGGCTTGGCACTGGGGAGTTTTGGGGGGTGGAAGTGCCCTATGTGTGTGAGAAGTGGATTAGGTCCTTGACACTAATTTACCTGCTTGCCAGATGGGACCCTATTACATGCCAACTCCTTCCCCTCCCTTCCATCAGGAACCATGCGCGCAGCCTGTGAGCTGCTGGGCCAGCTGCGGGCCGAGGTGTTGGAATGCCTGAGTGTGGTGGAGCTGACCTCGCTGAAAGGCAGAGAGAAGCTGGGGGCCGTGCCCTTTTTCTCCCTCCTGCAGTATGAGTGACCTCGATACCCTGCTCCACACCGGCTAGAAAAAGGAGAGGTCTGGCCTCTGTGGCTACACTTGACCACTTGCTGTCCACCTGGACTTTTTTTTTAATACATTTTATTGATTTTTTACAGAGAGGAAGGGAGAGGGATAGTGAGTTAAAAACATCAATAAGAGAAAAAGACCGATCAGCTGCCTCCTGCACACCTCCTACCGGGGATGTGCCCGCAACCAAGACACATGCCCTTGACCGGAATCGAACCCAGGACCCTTGAGTCTGCAGGCCGATGCTCCATCCACTGAGCCAAACTCGTCAGGGCCACCTGGACTTTTTATCCATTTCTGTGGTTGAGTTACCATCCAGCTCCCGGGTCCTTCCTGCAGGTTCTGGAAGTGGAAAGGCCTGAAGCCGGTGGCCCCGGGGCAAAGCCAAGCCCAAGCTGCTCAGATTTCCAGTGAAATAAGAACATGATTGATCAACTCTGCTGGAGTGGTGTTTCTTCAGGTGCCCAGGGTGGGATCTGGGCCTCAGGACCAAGAGGCAGGGGAGGTACAGGGGACTCCATGGCTGCTCAGTGTATTTATATAAACTATTCACATATAACCTGCACATCTTCCTGTATATTTTACTTCTAGATTACAATACCTAATGCTATGTAAGTAGTTGTTATGCTGTATTGTTTAGGGAATTATTCTGTACTCAGTACAGAGTAACCATCCTGGGCCCATCAACACTGTAACTTTTTCCCTTTGCTTAGTTAGCTGACTGGCAGATTGAGGGCCAACTATCCTGAAAACCAAGGTGTAGACAGGGCTGGTTCCCCCATTCCTTGGCTCATGGCCCTATCCTCCATCTTCAAAGTCAGTGATATACCATCCACCAACCTCTGCTGTGATGACACTGGGCCCATTAGGGTAATACAGGATGAGCTCTCAAGACCCCTGTGCTGGGGGGGGGGGGGGGGGGGGGGGGGGGTGTTATTCTGCCAATCACACTGCTCAAACCCATGCTGCCAGGAAAGCCACCCTACCCCCACATACCTGCACTCTGTGCAGCAAAGACAAATCCAAGGAAACCAGTTTAATGACAGCATGCTGTAGGAGGTGGTTGTACCACCCACAATGGCCAGATAATTCCATCCCCAGAGCCTAGTACAACTGCTGACCCTTGTGTGGATCAGGAATGGGAGAGCCAAATGCATCCTTAGAGAATAAAACAGGTACAGAGGGCCAAGCCAGGGCCTTGAGCCCATGTTTGCGTGTTGGTGCGCAGCCATCAGGCTCACAGCATCTCCTCAGCACGAGCAAGGCGGGCCAGCTGTGCAGTGACACTCGCCAAATCAGCAGCCTTGTCCAGCTTGACATAGGTATCAGTTCGGATGCGGTGGAGACTAAGCCAGTCAGGCAGCAGCTCAGAGAGGAGCTGCACGTGTTTCTCCATCTCCCCTGCAGAGAGAGGGGCCTCGTGAGGTGGGGGCCTGCCCCCTACCCCCCAAACCTCTGGGCCTGTGTGCACATCTATAAGTGGGTGCACACAGGTGCTGCTCTCACCTCAGGGTTCTGTCAAGAAGCCTGCCTTAGTTTCAGCCCCTGCTTCCTCACCTCCCTCCAGGCTAGACAAATCTGTGTACCCAGCGGCAAGGGGGTGGACTGACAGGACTGGGCCAGGGCAGTGACGGCACAGCCTTCCCAAGGAGGTGGCTCTCCCACTGAGCTTGTCTCAAGTCCTGAGCCCGAAGCAGAAGTGTCCTGCAGCTTTGTGGGACCAGAAGGCTTGGGGAGGGGGTGGTCTCATAGGACCTCAAGGGCAAATGCCAGGTTTGTGAGGGGGAGACAACCTCAAGAAGCTGCAGGATTAAAGGGACTCAGGTGATCGCAAGGGTACTGTGCCCACCCAACGCACACAAGCAGGTGTGGAGAATGGTGCAAATTTATGGTGCCCACCCTCATCTGGGACTCGGGACATGCAGAGTGGCCCTGCCCCTGCACATACCTGAGCTCATGGCCACGCGGTAGCTGCCTACCATCCTGGCGCAGGCCACCTCCATGGTGAGTGCTGGCTTGCGCTCTGACACAAAGATGCTACGCAATACCCGGGCCAATTCAGGCAGCCGCTCAAGCCGCTGCAACCTCTGCTCCTGCTCTGGGCACCGCGTCATCTGTGCCAGCTGCTTCTGCACCTCCTTGGCTCGGATCTGCATTGGGCATGAGAGTGGTCAGTGGACAGCTGTCCCCATTCCACCTCATCCCTGAACCCCAAACACTCACCCGCTCCAGCAGGTCCTGGGACACCCCCTTCAGGGGAGCAGGTGGAGTGGCCGGAGGGGTGGCTGGCAGTACCGGGCTGGAGGACACAGGGCTGCTGGGCACAGCTGTGCGCAGGGCTAAGTCATTCAGGGCCTTCTCCATCTGGATCAGGTCAGAGAGGAGAGATCAAGAAGTCTCTCCTGGCCCAGCCACAGGGGAGGCCCTTCACACCCCATTTGATGGACCCCTGCCCAGGAGGCCCTGTATGTCCAGCCCAAGTTCACCCCAGCACATCAAAGACCTGTGCTGGGCACCTCTACGTAGAGCCTGCCGGTAGGCAGTGCTCTGAACATAGGGAGGGCACATCCCACTACCCCCCAGGCCCACAGCCACACATGGAGTTTGTTGGGTGCCCACATGGGGGTCGAGCTACCCTTCCCTGGGAAACAGGGGCCAGTCTCACCCTGGGTGACATCAGACTTCGGGCTCGAGCCAGCACCTCCTGAGCAGTGGCCAGCGTCTCTGTGGTAGGTGGCTGGGGCAGCTCAGCAGGCTCGATGTCAGGCACTTCATCCACGTTGAAGCGAGGGTGCCAGCGTGTCAGCCGGTCCTCAGGCACCACCATGGGGGGATTCAGGGAGGCCAGGAAGACCTATCCAGAAGGGGATACCCGATGACCCTGGGCACATCTGGCTGGGGTGGAGCAGGGCTGCAGAGGTTCCCATCCCACCAGCACCCACTGTAGTTATCGCAAGCCTCCCAAGTCTTGAGTCTTCTGCATCGAGTTCCCCAATCCTGTGTTCAGGTCAGAACCCCTCACTTGAGGGCCAGGGTCCCCACCCAGCCCAGAATCCCCATCCACATGAGACGACGGCCCACTTTGGTGAGTGGTTTAAGAGAACTCTAGAACAGTGGTCGCCAACCAGTGGTCCGAGAGGTCCAAAAGGTTGGCAACTGCTCTAGAATACAGCCTCTCAAGAGGGCTTGTTTACTGCTGGGTAAGAGGCAGCTGTGACAACAACGGCCCACTGGTGGTCCGTGAGGTCTGAAAGGTTGGCAACTGCTGCTCTAGAATACAGCCTCTCAAGAGGGCCTGTTTACTGCTGGGTAAGAGGCAGCTGTGACAACAACGCTGAGGGAGGGGACAGACCACAGGGATACCTCATGCAACGAGGACTGAGCTGGTCATCGTGGGGTCACTAGCTCACCCTGTGGTGCTCCCGGACACGCTCCACCAGGTTCTGGCTGAAGACCTGTCGCCGCTGTAGGAGGCGTGAGGCTGTGAGCTGGGGGGCCACGTTGCCAACCTCTGCAGAGAGAGTCCAAGCCTGAGCTCCAAGCCCCTGGGCTAGAGCCACTGGGGCGCCAAGCCCCACACCACGGGTCTCAGACGAGGGGCCTGGTGCCCTCACATCCATGTTCAAAATGCAGTGTCACAGGTGGGGAAACCAAGGCTCAGAGATGAGTGGACTCAGCCAAGGCACACTCACCCTGATCCAACAGCGGCTCGATGGTGAGCTGGTAATCGGACCTCTTGACATTGTCTTTGAAGGTGGGGATGTTGCGCTCCTGGCGGAAGCGGTAGGAGGTGGGATACACGGTTTTGATCTGGCCCACATTGCGCTCCTCAAAGCGCCTATGGGATGAGGGTGTCAGGGGTCAGAGTCAGTTAGCTTCCACTGTAGGACAAGGCTCCCACCCAACAAGGGACTCCACTCACTTCCGCATCATGTCCTGGACACCCTGCTTGACCTTGGCAAAGGTCACGGTCTCCGAGCGGTTGTAGAGCATGCCCACAATGGTGTCCATGCTGCGGAACATCTCAGCCAACACCTGGTACTTGTAAGGCAGCACGAGGCCAGGAAGGCCTGGCTGGGCCAGGGCATGGAAGCGTTGATAGGCAGGTGCCTTCTCTTCACTGCAGGGAGGGAGCCAGGCCTTGAGAGAAGCATCAGACCCACATCCCCTCCAGGACCCAATGGCTGGCAAAGCAGCCGGGGATACCCCAGAGCTGGGGCTTGCAAAATTGCCCCCATGACACACTGCATACCAGTTTACAAATTCCTTATGTGCCCAGCTCCCCACCATAAGCACTATCAGGGATGGAGACAGAAAAGGGTGGCTTCAAACCCAGCTCCACCATGTCCCTGGCCACCCCAAGCCCTGGTTTCCGCATCTCTAAGAGGCACATGACAACCACAGGACCTGGAGAGGACAAACAATGATAGAAAGCAAATGCCCAATCACCACGGGCTAGCATTTGAAATCCATAAGGGTCCACTGAGGCAGGCATTGGCACCCTCTTAGATGGAGGGTGAAGAGCTACTGACTGGCACTAAGATCTGAGTGTCCTATCCACTGTGCTGGCTCCCTGATGGAGCAGCCCCAGTCCTGTGCCCAGCCCTGCCCCTACCAGGCCTCCCACTAGCCTACCCTTTCCTGGGGTGCCTCCCACCCAAAACTCACCATGGCTCTGCTGGGTGCCCCTCGGCCTCCAGCACACTGGGTTCCTTGGCATCATTCCCCGGGGCACTTGCCCTCAGTTCCTGGGCCCGTGCCCCCAGCTCCCGGGCCCGCTGCAGGCATGACTCGAGTTCAGAGAGGGTGACTTTCGAGGAGACCTGTAGACACAGGACGCTGTCAGCCAGCCAGTTACCCTATATCCCCCTCCCCAGCCCTTGGTCCAGCCTCCTCACCTTGTCCTTCTGGGGTGCCAGTTTGGGCAGCTGACCTGAGAGGGCAGCCTTCTTTGTCTTCTTGCTTGGAGAGGAGTGCTCTGGGGAGCCAGAGGCGGCTGGGGAGCCAGGGCCAGGGACCTGGGAGAAAGGACCCCAGAGGTGAACCAATGACGAGACCCTATGGTGTTCTGGCTCTACAGAAAGAGGACTTCCTGCTGCCCCCCGTCCAGCCTCTCGGAAGCACCCCTGTT